CAACATCCCCTTTTTCTTCCTTTTTTCTTGTTTGTTTTATTTGTATTTTTGTTTTTGTTTTGAGACAGGGTCTCACTGTATAGCTCTGCATATCTTGGAACTCGCTCACTAGAGAAGGCTGGCCTCGAACTCACAATTCAAATTCCAGTTCTGGGGTTAAAGCTGTGCACAACTGTCCAGCTTAATTTTTTGTTTTGAGGTAGTGTTTCTTTTAACTTTGGCTGGCCTTGAACTCACAGTATGTAAAGCCAAGAGTGCAGTTGAATTTTGATCTGCCTGCCTCCACCTCCCAAGTGCTGAGATTACATTCATGTGCCTGCATGGCCAGTTTATGTAGGGTTAAGTTCAGTACCAGGACTCCTCGAATGCTAACTAAGCACTGTTATCAACTGAGCTGCATCCGAGACCCTCACACTCACCTTTTTACTGCTGTATAGTATACCAGGGAATGAGGAAGGTACTCCACACTGAGGAAGTGGAGCCAAACTTTATTGAATTACTACTGGTCCAAGTTGGTCTTGGGCATTCACTGCCTTGTTTACTGCTAATAAAAGCAGTGCTTAGGTAGGCTGTGTAGGAAGGGCAGTTTAAAACCAACAGACACCATAAAACAGCCAAACAAATGGACCGTAAAGTCCAAGACAACACACTGTCGTAAAATGACAAGTTTTGCTTTGGCAGAAGAAAGTGGTGTTATTTTTCCTGTTATTACTGAAACAAACACTGCTTCTTAACTTTTGTGGGGACCTTTTCCCTCCAGTACATTTGTGTCATAGTAAGAGTTCCATCCAGGGGGATACATGCATGTACAGGAATTGGATTTCTTTTAATTATCTGATTCCTATATTGGGAAAACTGTAATTTCATAAACATCCTAAACCAGATGGCAGATTGATGTTTGTTTCTAACTCTGGCCTCCTCTTTTCCTTTCTTGGTTTTGAAGAACATCTCTAGCCCAAGAGAGAGCGCATACTGTAGAATGCCATGAAGCACAGCTGTCCACTATTGATAACAAATACAGTCTTGATCCCATGGTGAATAGAGGGAACGTGGGCTTATTGTTGTAAATGTATGAGCTACAGACAGTGTGTGGCAGCTGAGTTACTTCTCCTGTAATAAAATACCTATCCACTTCAAAAAAAATTACAAATAGTGTATTTTCAGTACAGCCTACCCTTTATTATTAATCAGATCAATAGACCAGGGTTAATGTATAGACAGGGCACAGTTCATAGATTTATTCCTAATTGTATTTAGTTTGTTTTAAACTTCCAGGCTGGAGCCACCTTCAATATAAGAATCTAACTACTTCACGCCTATACCACTAGTTCCTTCTAAGCCTCTGTTACCTTTCCTGTTCCCTGCAGAAGCTTCCTACATGGCCTCTACCCATTTCCCTCGCTGCCCGCTCACAGCCAGAGTGACCTCGTAAAAATATTAGCTCTCATGCCTTACTTACTTTTAGTAGCCTCCTTTCTAGGACATAAGCCAAACCCATAATGTAGCCTTCAAAGCTTAGTGCTGTGCTTAGCTCTCAAACGAAGGCTTTTGCCTCTGGCTCTGTCCAGCCCCAACTGCCACCTCCTTCAGCCACATAGCCCTTTGCACTAGGTGTTCTGTCTGTTTGGCCTTCTCTTCCTTCACATACGTACACACAGTTTCCCCCAAAGGAAACGGCACTGAAGGTTTCTTAGCCTCCACATAGAAAACACTCCCTCCCCTTGAGCCCTAATAGCATCATTCACTTTACTCAGTAGTTTTGGTCTGTCTGCCCCAGTATCCTGTGAATTCCAAAAGAGTAGGGATTTTTGCCTGTTGAGATCAGCTTATCACATCTCCGGTGTATAGAGAAGCCTGACATGGCGGGTAGCCAATGAGTGTTTGCTAAATGGATGACTATATGAAGATTTGGTTTTCTGCTATCTCATTCTTAGAATTTTTTAAATCAGTAATGGTCCTAGGAGCCTGAGCTGAAGTTCTAGAAATAGAGAACCCTATAGTCTACCTGTTCTACCCAGCCTCTGGCGAGATACTTCCTATGTCCACCTGTCTGCTTTAGCTTCTGAATTTTTTGAGACAAGATCTCACTGTGTAGGTCAGGCTAGCCTCAGACTTACTATATAGCTGAGGTTGGCCTAGAACTGTTGATCTTACAGCTCCCACCTCCCAATTCCCGTGTTTAAAACAATGTGCCACCACACCTATCTCTGTTTGGAGTGTTGTTGCTGTTTTGTTTTAATGTTTATGAGTGCTTTGCCTGAATCTATGTCTGTTTACCACATGTATGTGCCTGGTCCCCACAGAGGCCTAAAGAGGGTATCTGATTCTCTGGGATTGGAATTATAAATATCATGAGCTATGGTATGTGTGCTAGGAATTGAACCTGGGTCTTCTGTATGGCAACAGGTGCTCTAACCACTGAGTTTCCAGTCCCTTTAGGTTTTTTTGGTTGGTTGGCTGGTTTTGGGTTTACATTTGCATTGGTTTGGCCTCAGTTGTGGTCCTCCTGCCTCAGCCTCTCAAGTGCTGGGACTAGCTGCATGCCCGCCACCTAACTGGGCCATCTCATTCTTTTTCTCTTCTTGTTTCTTTTTCACCAAGGCCATCCTACACAGAGGTCCAAGGCAGAGCATGCTCTCAGCTCTCCGAGCAGTATTTCAGGACTTTCTATACTGATTGATTCCCTCTGCCTCGCAGATTACCTGTTCTCGTCTCATCTCTTCTCTTCTTGTCCCATTTAAAAGCCTACAGCGAAAGAGTTCTTTATTCAATCTTATTTAACTAAAGCCCAGTTAACTGCCAAGTAGGATTAACAGTGTTCTTATCCCCTCTGTAGAGCATACTAATTAATGCCTACAGCCTGCTGAATGTTCTTAGCTAAGTGTTCACAGCTAGTAGATGATGCTGTCGTAAGCCTTCGTACTTCCACTCCCTCCTCTTAAGTGTGTAGGCATAGCAAAGTCAGTTGTATTTATGCCCACCTGGCTATATGCCAAAAAACATGTATATTGTATAATTGCTAAATATCTAATACAGTAATTTTTAAATAAATGAACTCTACTTTTTAAATAGCTTTAGGCCCTCAGGAAAAAAATGAGGCAAGTAGAATTCTGTGTAGTCACCATTCCCACACACCCACAGCTGACCCCACTGCCAACATCCTGGCCAGAATGGCACATCTGTTGTAATCAACAAAATTGCCACATGACTATAATTCACACCAAGGTTTACTCTTGGTGGTATACATGCTATGGGTTTTGACATTCGTATGCTATCTGTCCCTTGCTGAATTACCCTACAGGATAGTTTCAGTTCACTAAAAAACTCCACATCCATTGCTCCCCACACCAAATCCTGGCAACAACTAGTTATTTTTACTCCATAGGAGATCAAATTAGTAGACTCATGCAATATTACTTTTCGTATTGATGACTTTTACTTAGTAATATGTATTGTTTCCTCTGTGCCTAGCTCATTCTTTATATTATTGAATAACATGCTATTATCTGATTATACCACACTTTATTTACCAACTGAAAGACATTTTTATTATATCCAGGTTTGGCAGATATGAATAAAACTCCTATAAATACCCATGTCTAGCAGGTTTTATATGCACATAGATTTTAAACTCAATTAGCCAAATACCAAAGATCATGAATTCAGAATTACATAGTAAGTACACATACTCTTGAAAGAAACTTAAATTTCTTCCACAGAATTTACCAATCTGCATTCCCATCAACAGTGGAGATTACTGTTGCCCCATGTCCTTGCCAGCACTTAGTGTAATCAGTATTTTGGATTGTGGCCATCCACTAGATAGATAGTAGTAGTTTTAATTTGCAATTACTTATGACATGTGATGTTGAACATCATATGTACTTTCGGCTTCTGTCTGTATTCTTTGATAAGGTTCTATTCTGCAGGTTTCAATCTGTTTTTAAAATTGTTCTTTAATTAGATACGGGTTTTACAAATATTTCTCCCAATTTGAAACTTTGACATTTTCTTTTGCAGAGGAAAAGTTTTTAATCTGGAATTATTATTAGTTACCTCTACTTCCTTTTGTTAGCATGGTGTCTCTTTCTCTGTCCCTTTCTGCCGTGTGCACCTTTATATTTAAAGCGGTTTTCTTTGTAGGTAATATATAGTTGAGGTTTTTTTCCTTTTTTATTGTATTTGTTATTCCATAGGAGGGGTAAGGGGTGTGGATGTGGGTATACACGTGTCACAGTACTCATGTGAAGGTCACCAGACAACTTAAGTTTTTTCCTTCCGTCTTGTGAGGCAGTCTCTGTTTCTGTCACCCTGCATGCTCCTGACTTGTGTACTCCAATAAGCTTCTAGGGACTTCTGTCCCGACCTCCGGTCTTCCGACTCCAGTCTTCCTGTAGGAGTGCTGGGATCACAGCCACACGTCAGTGGATCTGGCTCTCTGTGGGTTATGACAATCTGACTCGGCCGGGCAGTGGTGGCGCACGCCTTTAATCCCAGCACTTGGGAGGCAGAGGCAGGCGGATTTCTGAGTTCGAGGCCAGCCTGGTCTACAGAGTGAGTTCCAGGACAGCCAGGGCTACACAGAGAAACCCTGTCTCAAAAAAAAAAAAAAAAAAAAAAAAACAAAAAGACAATCTGACTCGGGCCATCAGGCTCAGACAACAGGCACTTTTGCCCATCAGGTTGGATGTCTTGCGGGTGAAGGTCAGAGAACAGCTCTCAGAGATTGGTTCTGTCTTTTACCATGGGTTTTAGGATTAAACTCGAGTCCTCAGAGCAGCTTGGTAAGCACTATTCCTTTCCCTGATCCAAGGAATATTTTTTAAACATCACCCAATTTGCTTTTTTTGTTGCCCTATATTAACCAAAGCCACATTCCTCTTGTTACTATTTGTTGTATATGTGCGTGTTTGCATGTATGTCAGGTGCACATGAGTATGCAAGCATGCAGAAGCCTGAAGCTGACTTTAGGTAGCTTACTCTCCATATTTTGTTTTGAGACAGTCTCTCAGTTGAACCCAGATCTTCCTGACTCAGCTTGTCCTAATCAACTTACCCCAGAAATCTCGAGTCACTCTCCCAAGTGCTGGGATTACAAGCAGCTGCCACGTCTGCCAACTTTGTACGTAGATTCTCACTGTTGGGAGGGAAGGTAGGTATCCACGGGGCCATCTCTCCAGGTACCCCAAAACCATGTTCCCATTATGACTTGGTAACCCAGCTTGCTACACAGAGAGAATGGTTAGTTAGTATGATTGATACAATTTTTAATTATAACTTAATCAGTTATTGAGATATTCATAAATTATTAATTAAATTAGTTATTAAATTAGCTCTTAGCTTAGTGAATAGTTAGTGTTATATAGAATTTGGTGGCTTCCAGAGCTAAGGTGTAGACTCAGTTCAAAGAATAAGCTTCAAAATAATAGGATTTTTTTAGGACTATAGCCAGAAGACTTGGGTAAGTCCCTCTGCCAGGAAGTATCTTGCATGATATTTATGTAAACCGCAGCAGAGAAGCAAATCTGTGTATTTTGCTTTGCCTTTGTACACATTTCTCTCACCTTCCAGAGGAGCATTCATTAGATGTCTTAAATGCCTTGCATGGGATTGTGAAGTTCACTGTGACCTCTGTACTGGTACATTATCAGGCCCAGATGATGCCCTAGAAGGACTTGGCATTTGGGGACTTAGTAGCCGTGATTCACTTTGAATCACCCCATCATGGACCAGATGAAAGCTCATTCCCATGGGATCCAAGCCATAGTCATGCGAACCATTACATTTTCCAACTTACTGAACTACTTTAGAGGTCTCTGGTTTTCACTGGCCTTTTCTTCATTTCCTTCTTCTGTTGATCTTGGCCCCTTTATCTTCCACCCACTTTATTACTCATTTCTTAGGGGCCTGACTGCTCAGTGACACTGAGAAAATGTATCTGAAGCCATATGGGTTGAGTAACACAAACTTAAGAGAGTGCAGGGTCGGGGTGGGAGTGGAAAGTGTGTTCTCTGAACTTCCTTTGTTTATGTGGTCTGTTTATATGTTGTTAAGTTGTGTTATTCAGCTGTCTCCCTACATTTCAAAAACTGACTAAGATATCTGGGGAACACTCTTAAGAAGGCCATGTTGACATAGTGAGCAAAGAAACACTTAATTTGTTCCCTGCCAAATAATATATCCCTTTAAGAATGTGGGAGCAGTGCCAAAAAGCTTCAGATGCCCAGTTCTGAGGTTCTTGAAAGGCCAGTGACTTCTAGGGACACTTTTAGAAATAAGTTGACCAAGTCATTTTTAGGCTGGAGGCTGTGTGGCTCTTAGACTATGGTATCTAACTCTTTTTGTGGGGAAGGAACCAAGTTAGATGAACATTAACGCTGGGTTGGTAACCTTGAAAGCCCATGCTCTCATCTGGTCTTAAATAATACGAGTTTTGAGTCGGGATCATTCTAGAAAGCAAGTGGGATTCTACAGTATTTGTTAGAGGCATTCCACTGTTAATACCTCGTCTTGAAGAAACTGAAAATGGCTCTCAAGCCTTCCCGCACATGGTATGAACGCCTTCCTCTGCCTTCCAGGTTCTCTGTATGCCATAGTTCCTATGATAAATACAGAGAAGCTTTTTTGTCATATTCAGCTATTTTTGGATCTTGGTCTGCCAAATAATAAATTTAGAAGTGAAATTAACTAAGAACAAAAAGTAAAGCATCAGTTTTAGTATTTGGGAATTAAACCATTCCATTGAACATTGAGAATGTGGCTCCGTGTCACCTGCAATTGCTTCCTATTTCCCCCTGAATGCTCCCCCTCCCCTGGGATGAACACTGGCTCTATCTGGCTGCTGTGCTGGCCTTTAATGGCCCCTCCCCAAACCCCCTACGAAGCAGCACCGAGGACTGCCAAGGGTCTCCTCAGTGAAATCCATCGGTTTCTTCTCAATTCGCCCACTGACTGCGGCCTTCTCTCTTGAGTGCTTTGCAGTTCCACTTAAGTGGCTGGTGTTTGGGGTCACTATTGAATGTTTTGTGTGAATATCACTTTCGTGATGAATTGGCTGTTGCTGCTTTTAGCTGTATGGGGTGAAGCCCTTGGTGGTAAACCTTGAAAGGGAAAAATCCTTCTCTGTAGAGATATGCTAAATGAAATTACTCTCTTTGTCACTTTGTCCTTTTATCCTTGCAGTCCGATAACCTCAGGTTCCTGTGATTTATGTGTTTTCTTCAATTAAGCTGAGCTGTTTGCTGTACGCAGGTGCATGCTATTCATGCTGTGGGTTATGGCAGTGAAGTGGTGCACGGTTCTGACCTGGAAGTGTGGTTTCTCTGACTCAAACCCACATCAGTGTGCCTTCCGTCCTCTACTTCCTTTGCACGGTTTCCTTTCTGAAGAGCTCGGTTTGTCGCCGTTTAGTCCAAGCATGAGTCATGAGGGACTGAGAGCTGGCAATGTTGTAATAGTACTGCATATAGTAACGCCCCAAACGCTTGCCGCCTTAGCCTGTTTATGAGGTACTTCCAGCTTAATCCCTCTCAGGAAGTTAAGTCAGGTAAATTCTGTAGGTTAGGTCAGCAGTTTTGTCTGTGTCTACAATGGTGAAATCTTGGCTTAAAGTGCTTGGTTAAGTATCTTGCTCCAGGTTGCTGCGCTTCCAGGTCACTCCACCTAAAAATCTCTACAGGAAAGGAATACTTTTGAAAGCCTAGGGAGATGGAGCAGTGGGTAAAAATACTTGCTGCACAGACTCACAGTGGAAGGACAGCCTCTGACCTCTGCATATAAACCATGACGCACACACACACATGCACACACACACAGGCATGCACGCGCGTGCACACACGCACCTGCATTCACACATGCAATGCACACACAGTAACAGTAAGTTAAAGTTGCTTGACTTTCTTAAAGAACACTTTAGAGAATGAATAAAAGATTTTCCAAGTATGCTGTGCTTATTAAAACTGGGCTTGTTTATATTTATTTGTATGTATGTGTAGTGTATATATGTGTGGTGTATTCTCATGCATGTGCATGTACACACACGTGTGCATGCAGAGAAGACCATCCGGTGTCCTAGTCTATCAATTTCTAATGAATTCCCTTAAGGCAGGGATTCTCACTGACCCTGGAACTCAGCTAGTATGGCCTACCAGTAATTCCCAGTGACTCTCCAGCCTGTCCCCTCTCCCCCAGTACTGGGCTTCTAAGTATGCTGCAGGGCCACGCCTAGCTGCATACATGAGTGCTGAGGATTAAGCCGGGCTCCTCACGCTCGCACGCTCCTCAGGCTCGCACATTGCCGCTCTTACTTGCCCTAAGCCATTTTCGTAGCCCCCAACTTGTTTTTCATCTGGTTAGTTGATAAAGAGCATAGTTAAAAGCCCTTTAACCACAGAGTTTAAATTGATGTGTCCAAGTCAGGAAAACAAACATTTAGGTCAGTTTCTATTCTGTTGCTGATGTAATAAAGCTAAGAAAGGCAGGCCCTTAAATCAGTGGAGCTTGAACCAGAAGTAATTAAGCCATTAATTTTTTTATGACTGTCTCTTCCTTGCAGGGAGATGGAGAGCCTGATGGCCAGCTCTACCCTGCCGCCCCTTTTTGCAGATGAAGACGGCTCCAAGGAGAGCAGTGATCTGGCTGCAACTGGGTAAGCAGCTGCCCTGGGCCTCTGGGCCTCTGGGCCTCTGGGGCTCTGCAGAGGCTTCCGAGCACAGCTCTGACCAAGGGTGAGGTGCTAGCGAGGCAGTTTTGTAGATACATGTAGAAGGTGCATCTGTTGGGCTTTTCAAAGAGAGCTGTTGTAAACCACTTTGTAATGTGCTTTTGGCTGCGGTCCGGTCCCTGTAAATTGGTACGGCAGCATCGTGGGCCTGGCAAAGGGAATACCTGTTACGCAGAACACGCTAAAAGTCAAATGTATTTCCTCTGTAAGCTTCGATAGTTTTTATCTTTTCCTCAAAGATCGGACTTGTCTGTGGTTTATGCGTGTGTGTGGGCAAGTGGAAGCAGGGTGTGTGTTAGTTTTTGTTCTTTTGGTTTTTCAGTTTTTTGTTTAATGAGTTAGCCAGCAAGCCCCTGTGATCTTCCTGGGTCCACTTCCTTCGTTGCTGCACAGGACTATCCCATGATAGGACGTGAGTCCTGGAATCCACACTCTGGTCCTCAAGCACTCTTAGACGCTGAGCCATGTCTGCAGCCAAAGTTCTAGCTCTTTAATATGATTCTTTGTTCAAGATGTTTAGAAGCTGGAGAAAATAAGATGGCTCGGTGGTTCAGAGCACTGGCTGTTCTTCTGGAGACCCTTGGTTCAGTTCTCAGCACCCACGTGCCCAGCTCAACCACCTTCTACCACTCCAGTTCTAGAAGAGCTGCTGCTGCCTTCCGGCCTCGGAAGACACTGTGTGCATGAGGTGCCTGGGCACACAGACAGGCACAACCACCACACACATAAAAATAATCAAAATTTTATTAATTAAAAAAAAGATGCTTAGAAGTTTAGCCAACTTATTTCTCCCATCACTTTTCCATGGGATCATTAGACAGATTTGTAAAAGAATTCAGGGAAAAGTTAATAGCCATGTCTACCTCTTACCTTGAAAGTCTCTGTTCCACTTGAGAGGGGGTTTCTTGTTTTGTTTTTTGTGGGGCTTTGTTTGTTTGGGTTGTATTTGTTTACTTGTTTGTTTTTCAAGACAAGACTTCTCTGTATATCCCTGGCTGCCCCAGAACTCGTTCTGTAGATCAGTCTGGTCTCAAACTCAGATCCACCTGCCTCTGCCTCCCGAGTGACTAGAGTAAAGGCCTGTGCCACTATGTCTGGCTTGAGGTTTTTAATCTTTTCTTGATATTTAGAAGCTGTTTACCAAAGAAGAAATATATTCACTATTAGATAAAATGAAAGAATTATTTCAATCTTCTTTAAAGCCCTTTTAAAAATATTCCAAAACAAATACTGTGTGATTCTGTTTTCTTCCCTCGCATCCATTCCTCACCTCACTAACATGTCTGCCCTTTGACCTCTCTGCTTAAATGAAACTGCTCCCCAAGACCGTTCTAAAGGCTGCCTATTTACTAGATTAGTTCATTCAGGAAAAATGTTCAGTTTAGCCAGGCAAACAGGTGTACCCCTTTAAGTTCATCATTAGGGAGGCAGAGGCAGGCAAATCTCAGTGTTCAAGTCCAGCAGTGTCTCCAGAGTGAGATCCTGTCTCAGAACAACATTTTTGCCAGTTGTACACCAAACAGTGTTCAGGCCTTAGATCAAAAACAAAGATCAAAAGAAATAACAAACTTTGTCTTTTTATTTTACTTTTTATTTTGGATTGACAGTCTCTCACTATGTAGCCCAAAGAGGCCTAGAACTCATTCTGTAAACCAAGCTGTCCTCAGATCTGAGGCAGTCTTCCTGCCTCTGCCTCCTGAGTGCTGGAATTATAAACTGGGCCACCATACTTGTCTTCCTCCTCCTTTTATAGCTCAATCCTGAGAGAAAAGTGGGAGGAGAGTGAACTGTAAGCAGGATGCCTGCTGTGTTGATAGGAAGTCGGGGGGGGGGGGCGGAGGAAGGGTTAGGGGACAGTTTTAGACAGTAGCCAAGAAAACATTTACTGAGAACATAATTTGAGCATTGTGCTCCCTCCCCCAAAACAAATCAGGTCACTCGAATGTTACTACCTAAGGAAGATTTTTATGGGCAGAGGAAGCAATCAAGGCAAGAGCCTGGAAGGAAGGGCATCGCTGCCTTGCAGAAATAGCCAGAAAGGCCATGTGGCTAAAACAGCAGACTGAATGGTGGGGGTCAACAAAGGGTTCTGTGGGTGCTTCTTTAGTGTACCAAGGAAATGCCTTGAGATCTCTAAACGCATTCTGATGTAGAAAATCTGCGGTAAGGCTGTGTTTCTAACAAGCTCGCAGCTAATGCCCCAGATGCTAATAGGCCGTACTCTGAGTAGGACGGGCTACCATGCAGGACTGTAAGATCCTTTAACCTTCTCTCTACACACTGGAGGGTTTGAAGAGAATGAGGTCTGACTGACTTCTTGCTGATCTGACTGTTCTGCTGCCAGTAGGGCGAAGGAAGCCAGGGCTGGATCAAGGACACCCACATGAGAGGCTCTGGAAGTAATTTAGAAGAGAGATGGTAGCCTGAAGAACATCACTCAGAACTTTGATGAGAATATTTTTGCTGAGCTCGTGAAGGAAAAAACCCCATCAGAGTGTGTTTCTAGGATGTGGGAATGGAGTTAGTGAGAAGTATTAAATTCCAGAGCTATTTTGATAGTAGGATCTGCCGGCGAGACCAGATGAGCAGTGTGAAAAGGGAGAAGAAGACAAAGACAGTTTCAAAGTTTTGGCATCACCAGCTGGAAAGATGGAGTCACCACTAACTTAGATGGGGGAACTGAACAGTTAAAGGAAGGAAGTCTGGTCAGAAAACTATAAGACTAAGGGACTTGTTAGAGTTCTAAGCTGAGATGTCAGTCAGGCAGTACCATACAAGTTCTGAAATTCCAGAAGGTTTAGACTAGAAAGAAAAAGTTGAGATCATCACTGCATGTAGCTAATAGTAAAGCAATGAGACTAGATACAATCACCAAAGGAATGAGCACTGGAGGCAGGGGTGTGGGCGGGCTGGGGAAGCACCAGCACCTAGAGATCAGGAGCTCTGGGAGGCTCCAGCATCTAGAAGACGGACAGAAGGAAGTCAGCCAGAATCACAGAGAGGCAGCAGCATAAACAGATACCCAAGGGGACTAGCAGCGGAATGGATGGTATGTGTCAAAGGACGAAGAGGCCAGCTGTGCCAGGCCCTTCTGGTACCTTGGATGAGTTCTGAGAAACAGCATTGGACTTCACATGATGTTCACCAGTGGCCTAACTAAGACTTGTAAGCTTGCATCTCCTTTGAAATCCCCTTCAGAGAAGATGGGAGAATAGTTGAATTCCATGAGTATAACCAATTCTTTCCAGGGCCTTAGCTATTGAGGGAAAGAACAGAGGAAGACCTCCACTGGAAGTTAGGTAGGACACCGGATCTTTGTTTTGTTTCCTTTTACTTTAGGAATTATATAACACACTTTTAACAGAGTATGCCAATCCTGTAGAAGAAAGAACTGGTCATGCCAGACAGGACAGAATTGCTAAGAATTTCTTCTTGAGTAGCCAGGAGAGAGTGAGATCAAGGGGGAAGTGGAAGGTTTGTCGGCTTTAGCTAGGAGCATGCCCAGTGGACACCTGTGTCCACTCCCTTCCCACCACCTGCCCAGGTCTGTCAGGAATTTTCGGGAATGCTATTCTTTCCCAACCTGATAAGCATATTTTGATGGAAGAAAAATGTTTGAAACTCAGGAAGTTTTAAGCTGGTAACAGTTGAAATGAAAGGGATAGGGAGAGCACAAGGGGCCCAAGACACCCAAAATAACTGAAGCGTTTGCAAAAGAACACTGCTAAGATCAAACGAGGTCACAGGAGCACTTTTGTATTTTTGGATTCATTTATTTTATGTGTATGAGTGTTTTGACTGCACGTTTGTGAGTGCACCGCATGCATACTTGGTGCCTGAGGAGATCAGAAGAGGACATTAGATCCCCTGGAGTTAGAGTTAACCATGGTTATGAGCCACCATGTTGGTGCTAATATTTGGACCTGGGTCCCCTGTAAAAGCAGCAAGTGTTCTCAACCACTGATCCATCTCTCCAGCCCTGGGGGCACTACATTTTCAAGAACTTGGTTAATGTTGACTTCGTAGCTGCTTTTTAAACATACATTTATTAAAGGACCTCAACAATCTGGAAGAAACCTCCTGTAGAAAATCATTGGCTTGTCTCCTAGAAAAAGTCAGAAAAGTGTCTCTTCCTTCATTTACAATATAATCTGCATCTGTTTTTGTTCATTGTTCTATCCACTATGATGTGATATTTGTCCCCGTAATTCCTCTGAAACTATATTTCCCTAAAGCTGCCTAACCTGGGATCCAGATTCAACAATGTTTTTATTTTTATCATGTCTTTTTTGTTTGTTTGTTCTGTTTATGTTGTTCTGCTTTGTTTTTAAGACAGTGTCTGGGGCTTGAGAAATGCTCAGTGGTTAAGAGCACTGACTGCTCTTCCAGAGGTCCTCAGTTCAATTCCCAACAACCACATGATGGCTCACAACCATCTGTAATGGGATCCAGTGCCCTCTTCTGGTGTGTCCAAAGACAGTGACAGTATATTCATATTCATAAATAAATAAATCTTTTAAAAAAATCACAAGACATTTAAAAAAAAATATCAGTGTATTACTTTGTAGCCTGGCTGACCTGGAACTTTCTATGTAGACCAGGCTGGTCTTGTCTTCACAGAGATCCACCTGCCTCTGCCTCCGCCTCCCAAGTGCTGGAATTAAAGGCATGCGCCTCACCCAGCTAGCCTGTCTTATTTTACCTTAACATCTTTTTTCTTGGTCACCGCCCCGTTTTTTTAAAGTTTCCCTCTCCTTTCTCTTGCAGTACTGTTCTGATTCTCCCATCTTCTAAAGTGTTAGAAGTGATATTTCTAACACTTGCTTTTAAAATGCTGTCATTTGACCATGTTCTGTGGGCCTTTTCTTCTCGGTGCCTTTCTGGAGAATACCTAGCACCAGCCGTGGTTCCCCTAGACTGCTGCCTTTCAGCTCTTGATCGAGATATATTCCTCTCTCATACATTGCATCCCAGCTTCCCCCTCCCCCAGATCCAGTCATCTCCTGTTTCCCTTCAGAAAAGAGCAGGCCTCCCAGGGATCTCACCTGATCGCAGCATAACGCGTTATAGCAGGACTAGGCACATACCGTCATATCAAGACTGGACAGGACAGCCCCAGTGGAAGGGAAAGGGTTCCTGGAGCAGGCAGACGAGCCATGGGCACACCTGAGTCCCACTGTTGGGAGTCCCACACGAACACCAAGCTACCCAACCATAGCACACATGCACACGACCTACCGAAGACCCATACAGGCTTTGTCACTTGAGTCTCTGTGAGCCCTAGGAGCCCTAGTTGATTCTGTGGGCCATGTTCTCCTGGTGTCCTCCATCCCCTGTGACTCTTACTCTTCCTCCCTTTCTTTTGCAGGGGTTTCCCAAGCTCCACGTAATGTTTGGCTGTGGGTCTCTGAATTTGCTCCCGCTAGTTGCTGGATGAAGCCTCTCTGATGATGACTGGGCTAGGCTGCAATCTATGAGTATAGCAGAATATCATTAGGAATCATTTCATTGACTTCTTTTTTTTTTTTTTAATTTTTTTTGCCAGTTGTGTTTGATTATATCCTAGGTCTGTGGACTCCCCAGCCTCTGGTTCCTGGCCATCTAGGCAGTGTCAGGTGTGGGATCCCACTCGTGGCATGGGCCTCAAATTGGGCCAGCCATTGGTTGGCCACTCCCACAACTTCTGCTCCAGCACATCTACAGGCAGGACAAATTGTAGATCAAAGGTTTTGTGGCTGGGTTGGTGTCTCAGTCTTACCACTGGAAGGCTTGCCTGGTTACAGAGACGGCCAGTTCAGGCTCCACATCCTGCTGCTTTATCTCAGGGCACGGTTTCCAGTTCTCTGTAGGGTACCTCCGTTTAATTCTGCCCTAAGAATTTCCAACCCGTCATCTCATCTGTGTGTCTGTCTCGTCCGTACACCCTGCTCTGCTCATGATTAATAGTGAGTACCTAACCCCTGAGCGGAAGCCTCAGCATTACCTTGGATCCTACTTCCCCTTCTTTATTTATATTTATGCCAATTCATTCATTCCAGCCTCCACCTTTGTGTCTCTGCTCTTCATCCCGCCTGTGTTTAAAACCTCCTTCGAGTGTCGAGAAGCCCTTACCGGGGCTCTTCCTTCTCTCAGACCATGTTCCTTTTGCCTAGGATGATAGTGTTTACCTGATGAATACCTATTCATCTTTCAAGACGGCCTTTGTGAAATGTTTTCTAGCAGCCTCTGCACATAAAGAGACTTCATCTGACCTTCTCCAGGGCCTCTTCTGACACTGTCTGTAAACATCTGTTACAGCACCTACACTGTGATCATTGTTGATTGTCCAATGGAGTGTGTATTCTTTCAGAGTAATAACTGAATATTGCTCTACCATCTATATTCCTGCCTCTCCTACCTTTTCCTCCTCTTTAAAAAAATAAGTAAATACCTTACTAGCACATGCAAGTCTAAGGCTCTGTCACCTATCATCTGTACCTTCTTTGTCCACTTCTTAGAAGAACTTACTAGGAATAGATTATTGGCTTCCAATAGCCTATTAGATTAGAATATAGAATAGTTAATAATTGTTAATCAATTACTAGTTAATTAATCTATTGGAATAGGAGCCCTGCCTGACTAACATTTATACTTGGGCTATGATTGTAGCTCAGAACAGAACACTTGCGTCTATGCTATATGAGTTATTTCCTGTGCTCATTAAGAAATGGCTCTAATACGATGACCTGGGCAGCCCCAATCATCTGGTCCATTACTAGGGTTTCCTCATCACATGGGAAACACATGCACGGTAGCATATAAAAGCCAGACTCTGTTGCATACTTAGAGAGCTAAAACATGAGGTCTATGTTTGGGAGGAGAGATCATTGTTTTGGACAGAAATTAAGAGTTGGTTTTGCTAGAAATGTCTGTCAGACATCATTATACTTTATACAGTGGTAGAAATAATTCAAGTACTGACCTGTGTTTTTGCTGGCAGGAACATTTATCTGCAGCCTGGTAAGAGAAGGTTTTACTGCTGTCCTTGCTGAATTTGCGTGCTTTGCCTGTTGCTCAGGTTAACACACCCCGAGGGTCCATATGGCAGTGCAGCCACGTCAACGACCAACCCAGAGTTTGTGGAGGACCTCTCCCAAGGCCAGCTGCTCCAGAGTGAGTCTTCCAATGCTGTAGAAGGCCATGAGCAAAGGCCTGAGGACGAGGTGAGCCAGCGTCTCCTATCACTGTCCACTGGAGCTTCCAAAGCAATGGGCATCCAAGGAGTTAGTGAGGGAAGCGATGGCCGTCTCGTGCCTTAGGTCCCTGTGAGAGAAGCGATGGCCATCTCGTGCCTTAGGTCCCTATGAGGGAAGCAATGGCCATCTCGTGCTTTAGGTCCCTGGGCTGAGGCTTGCCCAGCTTTCTCACACATATTTCATATCATAGAGCCACATGAGTGGTTTTAATGACGTAGGAACAAATAGAATCTGTTTACCCTCAATCTGACTAAACTGTAACTGCCTCCTATAATGTTCAGCAGTACTCGGGGAGTTGTCTTGTTGTGTCATTGGGGGTTTTTATTATTGTTGTTGTTGTTATTGTTGTTACTGCTATTTTTTGAAATAGGACCTCAGGTAACTCAAGCTGCATGCTAGAACTACAGATGTGCTCATCATGTTCAGTCTTGACAAACACTTGTTTTGTGAGTGAATGGTTTAATTAAGTAACTACTAAGAAGTCCTCATGCCCTTGTTCATGGCTACACTCTGTTCACAAGCTCTGCAACACAAAGTCACATGTGCCAGGTCACTTAATGACTCCTTCTCCCTCACGTAGGGTCCATCTTTCCCCAGATCACACAGAAATTCAGTATGGGCATGGGCAGTCCTGGCCTTCCTGGGCTTCAGTTATAGATGACTTCATTACAGATGACTGATGGCATTCCACTCTTCTGTTTTAAGGCAAAAAAAAAAAAAAAAAAAAAAACAAACCAGCATCATCAATGTTGTCTTTTCTCTTGTGTGAAAAGACTAGTTTGTTCATTTACCCCATTAGTATTTTTAAAGATAATAATGAGTGTGAGTAGCTTTTCCTTGCCTTCCTGTGTGTCTGCTGTGGGTGCGGGGTGGTGTTTGTGTGGTGTACAGTGCTGGGGACTCAGGCTTGCCTTGCTGTGTGTCTGCTGTGGGTGCGGGGTGGTGTTTGTGTGGTGTACAGTGCTGGGGACTCAGGCT